GTTTGTGGTAGACGAAGAATTTTAAATCATCATAAATTCTCATTTATTGCCCGTTTACGACTGGACGAAAACGACTCTCTAATCTAAAATCAGTGAAGTTAATAGACTTATTTATTTTTTATTCTGCTGTTTTTAAATTAAAATTGGCACCTTTGGAAAGGATTAGGTACTGAACGAATAAATAATGCTATAAATTCGCAACAGAAAAAATTGTTTAACAATATTTTGTTTTAATGGACATAATGAATTAAAAGCTATAAAAATTGCTTTTTTGTTATAATATTGTAATACATATTTTACACTTGGTGTTGTACTTTTACTTTTACTTGGTAATTTAATTAATTTCAGTGCTACCACGTAAAGGGTCGTGCAGGTATTACGTAACGCAGTTAGGGGATGGAGGATCGTGTAAAGCGTTACGGTGAAATAAAAAGGGAGAAGAGGTGTCAAGTAACGTACCATTATGTAACAAACGATATTTGTGATTTTCTGGTATTTTGAGCGAAAAAATAATATTTGTAGATTAAAATGGTTATTAAGGTGTTACATAACATTGGGAGGGAGAAGGGGGTAAATCAAAACATTACGGCGGAGAAGCCTCTAAAATAACTGAAGTTATTGTGATTTTTAGCTTTTACGTTATTGTATTACATGATGTTTTGATATTTTGTATCGAAATATTGCAGACACTGCGGGCTTATTCAGATCAGACCTGAAACGTTGGCATAAAAATATCTACAATTGACATTAAAGTGCAGGAATCAATTTCTAGTTTTTGGTCCCAAACCTTAAAAGTCGCGAAATTTATTATTAGGCCAAGAAGATACCACTCGATGGCGGTGCGGTGAAACGATGATGCGGGTAAAGTAGGGGATGCATTGGTGCTCGGCGTTCATTAGGACTCGTGAACGTGATGCCATGGCATGTATCGAACCAAGCATTTTTGCTAACAAAATTTAAATTTGATAGGTATTTATTTTTAGTTTTCATGAAACTCTTCTGAAGAGAAAATGATTTCAGTTTCGATATCATTTTAAATACTAATGCTGAGATTTCAAAGATACCAAAGTCTCAAAAAATCTTTCGATTCCGAAATTTTCAGATACTAAGCATAAAGGACCGGAATAGTACTTACTACATATTCACATTTTTAGGCCCTTGTAAGATATTAGTCTCGCGCTGTTACGAGCTACAAAAGCAATGACTTTGAGTGTTCCAAGTCCATACAGCAATCCGAGCAGGTTGAACATTCATATTCAGTGGTGGAAAATGATAAAAGAATTTCAACTACATGATTATAGAAAATACCACAAATGGTGCGGTAAACGCCATCTGTAGTACGATGCTACAATTTAGGATTACGTATGCTCCAAACAAGGTCCATTTAAATACATGATTATGATTTGTGTTAGCGATGAATTTAGGTTTTTTTGCTTTTGGTTTACGTTAAGGCGTGGATATACCTACTGTCTTCTCTTCGATTTTCTTGTTAAATAATAGTTTGTTCTTCCAAATTCCGCCAATCGTTTTTATGCTTGAAATTTAATTCTTACTTTGATCATCTCCAGAAGGTCTTAAGTTCTAGGACTACTTGAGCCCGTTTTCGCATTGCACCAAAATTTTAGCAATCTACTATATTGCTAACTATTTGTTTTGATAAACATTAACTTCTAAATGTAAGTAATAATTTGTACTACAATATCACCACCATTAAACATCTATCACAGTCACGGGTGTTTTGAATTTTGTAAAACCAACCTATTTTTCGAGTTTCTTAAAAGAATTAGCGTTCTTTTTGTACAATGTGTAGCAATTGTGGTCTGATAATTAATTACTTCCAACATTGTAATTGCTATTTGACTTGTGAAATTCGCTTCCATTAAGAATTTTGTCTAATTAACCCGCGCTGAAAATAGATAGGTACGATATTTCTAATTTGTTGCTAGCGATAGGGAATAATTAATGGTAGTCATTCTATTCGGTGGAATAATTGGCAGTGACTAAAAGCGCTAAATTTACATTTAATTGATTCCGAAAGAGGAAGGCAACTGAACAACCGGCACGGCGTTGAGTCGTACACTTGACTGGAAATATCTTTTAAAAGTGTTTAGGCTACTCAAAAACGCTTTTAACCAGAAGCAGGCCGGGCAGATAAAAAGCTCTAGTGCAGTTCTGTGTCTTGTCATATATCCCAAACGATTTCAACTGAAATAAAAATATACATATACATGTGTACATTAGTTACGATTTAGCACTTGGTCCATCTGCAAAGAAAGAAACGCTTTAGATTGACGCCTTGTTAATATTTATGTTAACTACTTTCAAAGTGATGCAGGAATTGCACTTTCTGGAACAATTGTTTACGTTCATGGCGAATTGTTCATAAATTACGTAAGGCTAATTGGAAGAGAGGGATCTAGCCTTTATGGTCCTGCTACGTAAAAGGGTGGAGGGGTAGGAAAATTCTACTTCCGCCTCATTGTAATGTAAACGGCAGCAAGAAATTTCCTTATTGGTAGCTAGAGAATTTAAAGTCTGTATAGGGAAAAGAGGATTTTTATTCAATTGTCTACAAAATCTAAAAAATATACTCAATTTACTGAACAATGTTTATGAGGATAAAATTATATTATTTATCTTGCAAAATAAATACATATACATAATTTAATTTTTGGAATGATAATCATTTCAAGAAAATGTGAATAACTAAAAAGAAAAAAGGTCTTTATATACAAATATAACTTCATAAACAGTTATCCGTGCATTAACGAAATAGACATCCCCCAAGTTTTGGATGTAATTGGTTAACTTAAGGAAATTTCACACATAATAAAAAATTCTTGTTAATCGAAAGTGCATTTCGGTATCTCCGTTTTCACAAGAGCAAGTGCATTTGGGACAGAAACTGAAGGGTGTAGTAGCGGCTCCCAAACAGTCATAAAGTAAAATTATTACAGGATGTTTAAGTTATTCGACTTTTATTATCCCGATATTCGGAGTAGATACGTAGTAGTTCTAAAATCTAAACGCGCCAATGGTTGTTGTTGCACCATCCAAGCTTATTAATATTTTTATTCGTTTTTATTTTTTTACCTAGCAGTCAAAATTTTAATAGTCTACCGAGGAATGATTGTTTTTTAAAGATCAAAAGCAAACTAAAATTAAAATTTATTACGAACAGACACACGACGTACAGTGTGAAGAAATTGCAGAGCCCTGAGCTGGTTTAATGTTATTATTTTTGTTTATTCCATGGCGTTTTATAAATTTATTGTGTAATAAGTATTTTAGACTCATTAGGTAATGTTCAGCACAACTATACGAGTGTAATTAAAATTTAATAGACATCATTCAAACAAACTTTACGATAAGGTTTTGCAGTTTTCAAAAATAGGTTCACTTCTGAACACATTATTGAAGTAATTATTTCTATAAAAATTTAAATTTAAAGTTTATCGTCTTCGTAAATATCAAGTTGCTCGGTTGGCAATAAACAGAAGCCAGATTCTATCGTAAACTTATTAAAATAATTGCAAGGAGTTCGTTCAAGCAGCAGAAAACCGTAAAATGTCAAATTGAAGCGACAGAAAAAATTAATAAACGTAAATTTAAGTAATCAGACGTTTCGTATTGTGGATTTTATCTCGTTGCCCCGTAATATAATGTCGCCGTTTCATATTACGAAAGCCAATTTAATTTAAACACCTATAACTACTTACTGCATACCAACCAGCGAGTGTCGGGATGTACGTAAACAAAATATTATGTATTTTAGCCATTGCGATATCTGGTTTATATTACATACGTAAAGACCATAAATGTCTCATAGATTTAAAAACTCGCTATCTAACAGCTGTTTAATTATTATTACAGTGTGTATACGTATATCGTCTTGTTCCTCAAAAGATTGACGTTTATAAATATGTATAGGTAATGAAAATAAAAAGATGCATTAAGTCTTATTAACGATAAGAAATAACGCAGGGTGGGGCAGGGAATTATATCCCTAACTTCACCCCGGTGACTACGTCGATTTAAAAATTGTATGATGAAAATTACTTGAACCATTTAAAAAATACAATTACAGGTTTACTTAGGTACCTAACATACCTTCCTATATATTTCAAAAATTTTAAGGGTCTACTTTCTGTTACACACCGAAATTATTTTGAAATTGGGTAGATTTGGAGAAACTGAAGACGAAGTACGAAATTAGTATGTGCCTACTGATAGAGGCTGTAGAGTTTATAGTGATATTAGATACAATAATTTGGCGACTTTAAAGTCAAATAACTCATCGGTTTCTAATCATATCTCACTTTAAAAGTTACTTACTAAATTATCAATACAATACTATTTTTGATCTGTAAGTAATTGTTAATTCTGAATATGAAGAGGACGCCAAAGAACTCACTTGCACAAACTCTCGTCCATTTTTATTGGAAGAAGTTGAACAATTGGACTGAAAAAGTGAATGAATCCGAAAAAAAAACTTGGAATGAAATACATTCCCATTAGCCTATAGCGGAAGGCCCCCTTCAGTCTCCTTTCAAGAATTATGGGAATGGGTGGGTGGTGGTGGTTCGGGTGAGAATAATGAGACGGACGAAATTAAGACAGAAGAGAAAGAAAGATTATCTGTGGAATATTACTACCCTAGCATTTGCCTAAGTGATCCAAGGAAACCACAGATAAAAAATTGGATCAAGGCAGATGAATCCAGAACCGACTTCTTCCCCGATGCTAAGCAATGTACTAAACCTTGAAGCCATGCCGCACAGTGAAAGAATCCATCGACAACGGTTTATGGTCAAAAAGCTCAAAATCAGTCAGCTAACTATAATCATTCATGCTATGTACTTTTCGATTAATTTTGAAAATCAATGATGTGATATACGATTAGAAATTAAAAAATTATATGTAAACAAAATTGATTGTGTAAAATTGAATATTTTACATTAGATTGTCATGAAATTAATACTATTCTTTGCCTGTTTCAGGTTCTCAGTGCCTCTCGTTCATCATTAATTGGTAAGGGTTTGATATTTCAATAAATTTACTAATACGACTAGTGCAGAAAGATATTTTCTGCTTAGAAACATATATGTTATATCTCAAACGATTTAAGAAATAACAAGAATTGTACTGACAGCACCAATCTCCACAAGGTTGCTAATCTTGTTTGATAAGGGATGATGATGTGTCGATTTTTCCAATACGTTGAGAATAAATCTTATTTAAGTTGTATAAAACAACTTCTTTATTACAACTACTGGCTTGGAGTGTAGACTGCTTTGATAATCACTTAAACCAACTTATTTAAGTTACTTGTTAACTTCTGATTTAGGATATCAATTGAAAGTAAATGTTGAAATTAAGACGTTTATTAAATTAGATGCAAACTACAACTGAGGGTAAGATACCCTACCGGTCTTATTTATAGATCCTCAATAATCATGCCGATACTGGCTTGTTGACTATTTGTCATTATCGGTATCTATTACAAACAGATGTAATAATTATGTAGTTATAATTTATCATATATAATATCAGTTATCATATATAACATATACTAGGGTCAATTGAAAAGTCCCCGGCCTGACACATAGATGGCGGCACCAAAACTAAATCCATATGATTTTCAGTTAGTCCTAACCTTCAAAAGACGCGTCTATAAATTTGACGGCTGTCGGATCATTAGTTTGTGAATTATAGCATTTTTAGTGAAGCAACTTTTGTTATTGTGAAAAAAATGGATAAAAAGGAATTTCGCGTGTTGATAAAATATTGCTTTTTGAAGGGAAAAAATACAGTTGAAGCAAAAACTTGGCTTGATAACGAATTTCCGGACACTGCCCCAGGAAAATCAACCATCAAGGATTGGTATGCTAAGTTTAGACGTGGTGAAATGAGCACCGAAGACGGTGAACGCAGTGGACGCCCAAAAGAGGCTGTTACGGACGAAAACATTAAAAAAATCCACAAAATGATTTTGAATGACCGTAAATTGAAATTGAATGAAATAGCAGACACTCTACAGATATCAACGGAACGTATACATCACATCATTCACGAATATTTGGGTATGAGAAAGCTCTGTGCAAAGTGGGTGCCGCGCGAGCTCACTTTTGACCAAAAACAACGACGAGTTGATGATTCAGAGCAGTGTTTGAAGATGATCACGCGTAATAAACCCGAGTTTTTGCGTCGATATGTGACAATGGATGAAACATGGCTCCATCATTTCACTCCGAAGTCCAATCGACAGTCATCGGAGTGGACTGCACACGATGAACCCGCTCCAAAGCGTGCAAAAACGCAACAGTCGGCTGGCAAGGTTATGGCGTCTGTATTTTGGGATGCGCGTGGAATAATTTTCATTGACTACCTTGAAAAAGGAAGGACCATCAACAGCGACTATTACATAGCGTTATTGGACCGTTTGAAGGACGAAATCGCCGAGAAACGACCGCATTTGCAGAAAAAGAAAGTCCTGCTTCACCAAGACAATGCACCGTCTCACAAGTCAGTGAAAACGATGGCAAAAATTCATGAATTGGGCTTCGAATTGCTTCCGCATCCACCGTATTCTCCAGATCTGGCCCCCAGCGACTACTTCCTGTTCTCAGATCTCAAAAGAATGCTCGTTGGGAAAAAATTTTCGTCGAATGAAGAGGTGATCGCCGAAACTGAGGCCTATTTTGAAGCAAAGGACAAATCGTACTACAAAAATGGTATCGAAAAGTTGGAGGATCGCTATAATCAGTGTATCACCCTTAAAGGGAATTACGTTGAATAAAAAAAACGAATTTTGCAAAAAAAATGTGTTTTACTATTTTAGGCCGGGGACTTTTCAATTATATGTCATTGCACCGTTCAACATTTGAGCTTCCGCTTCTTTAGATTTCCAATTTTTTCTAAATACTCAAAGGATTATTTCATTATTTTAGTTCGATTAGATATCGAAAACCTTTTAAGACTCGTTCGTGATATCGTGATGTTTTGAGACCGCTCATCATCATCAACATTATCGGTTAAGAGCTGTCTGTTTTTGTACACCTTAGAGAAGAACACTCGGCACGTCACGTCTACGTATTTGCCCACCTTTTACCACCCTTTTCGTCCGCACTTTCCAATATTTACCTTTCACTAAAACTAAAACGGGAAAAAGCAAAACCCGCCGTTGTTTTCTGTTTATTTTCGTGTTCATGAGGTTCGAAAAACGAAGTGAACCGAAACGAACCGATAGGAATTGTAGCGTCATCAGTCGGTCAATGGTGGGCTGTCGGGATGCTGCGCGTGACAACGTGCAGTACAGGTGTCAAATTAATCCCTTAAGAGGTTACAGTTGACAAAGCCGAGTTAAATTTGTCCCCCCGTAATCCGTAAAGTGGATTCAAATCCGTGAGGTAACACCGACTGGCGGTAAAGGGAGCTTACGGACCTATGTAAAATACCTCTGCAAAAAGATGGGTGAACACATGTTCTCTGAGAAAGTTTGCAGATGTTTTATTCCGAATTTGGATGAAAAGTTGTCGTATAATTCTTTGAAACTGTTCTCGATTCGTTAAATGAAACCATTTTCTCTGTGTCTAATCTGGAATATCAACAAAAAGTTTTTAGTAGAATGAAGATTCGGGCTATAGGGCCGTGGTCTAAGTGAACTATTGTGTCCAGACGTTTCGTCAGTTACTGCGGCTGACATCCTCAGCTACTGCGTCTGACATCCTCAGCGGTAGTGCTCAGTTGTCTCATATATAAGTATAGAAAAGCTGCAGGGGTGAGATGCCCCGGTACAGATTGTAGCGATTTTTCCTCAGTAACATGATTAAGATTTGTGAAGTTTAAGCCCTTAAAAATTAGGTGTTTGGTTGTATCAAAATTGTATGTCCCAGTCGCTATCGAGACTTCGAGATATAATCTACGTTCACGTTGTCAACGCAGCACTACCACTGAGGATGTCAGCCGCAGTAGCTGACGAAACGTCTGGACACAATAGTTCACTTAGTCCACGACCCTATAGCCCGAATCTTCATTCTACTATGGATTCCGGCCGTGAAAGCCTTTGTTCTTAAAATTTTTTTATATTTACATGATGATACATCCCGACTAGAATTTTGAGCGGGGTGAGCTAGGGTCCCAAAGTGGGTAGCCCACTACCCCTTGCGGGCCCCATGATGTTGCCCCCTAGGGCAAGGAAGGGATATATAACGCCTTGCCGCATTTGCGCATCATCAGGAATGCCGGTTGTTGCCCCTGCGGCGATAAATTGTTGCTACCTCATTAAAAATTTTTGGTAAAATTAACTTTATTATTAATGAAAACAATTCAAAATTAAATGAGAAATATATTTTACCAATAAGAAACTGTTCATTTTTACATATGTAGCAACGGTATGACACCTATTATTTCTTTACTTTCGTCATTAACATTAAGATAATCCATTTTTTATCAACATCTATGATTTTACAGATAGTAATATTTACATTACTTGCAGAAACTACAGGTACATTTCTAAAAATTTAGCATCTCATGGATACGTATAACAGGGATTTTCTTTTTCGTAGTAGTTTTCAATAATTTCAATACAATTTATATCTCCAATCTTAAATTGCAATCGTTTTACTATTGTTTGACTTGATGCGTCTGGTTTCAGTTGTCTTATAATAACAATATCAGGAAGTACATTTGTTGGTTCGTTGCAAATGTAAATGATTTCATTGAAACGACGACATAATTGGGCATTTTTATAAGTTTTTTCATTTTACCGAGAGTATTTTCAAACAGATTTGCATCATCGAGCCCCCCTAAGGTAGATTTAATTGTAAGTTTACACATGCGCTAAAAATTTTCGTATCATCAGGTTTTTCTGGTGTGATTTTCATGAGGAATCTACGGGGAAATCCCTATATCGACATGCCCCTCATTAACCACATGAGGCCGGCACGCTAGATGGGGCATGTCCCTTATAACCTCTAGTCGGGATACAACCAGTTATATAAAATAAAAAATGTTTAGTTCATTAAACAATAGAAGATAAAACCATTTTTGTCAATAGGTATTCATAATCCATAATGTAGGAATTATTCCTTATTGGTTTTGCAAACTAATTTTTCCCTTCGTTTAATTCCACTCTAATAGGAGTTAAACAGACAATGTAAACTTTCAGTGAACGTTTTACTCTTCTATTTCTGAAAGAAGTGGGTAGTTTAAAACGAACCTGACGAAAACGTGTTTTTGTTGGCAAACTTTGAACGCAGTTTTTTTTGCAAGTTTCCTTCTCCATAAAAGTTTCGTTCCATAAATATTCATTATAATCCGTCCGTCCAATTGCACCAGTGTTTCTGAAGTTTTCTCGGTGTAAAAATGCGCTGGTTATTCCGAACTACCTTGCACAATTTCTACCATTTGTAGAATGACTAGATGTTATTAAAAGAAGAAAAAACACTTCGTTTTATTATGTAGAGAGTTCTTCGCTGCGAACTACACAAAGAAAATTTACCGGAACATTCCAGACCAAGGACTAGGATATATGCAAACCTTATTGTCGATGCTTCTTATCTAGCCCTATCGTAGAGTACTTACCCTTAATACTCCTGAGGTAACAACGTTGGTTATCATCATCATAGGATCGTCAGTCTTAAGACTGGTTGGTTGCACACGCACCTCCACTATTTCCTATCCTGAGCTAATCTTCGCATTTCCCTAAAACTGGAACATACCATATCCTCGACTATTTGTGAACGATAATCTAATCTAGGTCTACTTCTACCTCTCTTCATTCCTGTATCTACTTCTAATATGTCTCCAACTAGCCCTTCGTGATTGAGAAGGCGTCCTACCTACCTATTTCCCCCAATTCTTATTAATTTCCATAGCGGCCTCTGTTCTCTTACTCCTCATTTCTAACCTCCTCTATCCACGGTAATCCCATCATCATTCCACAAGGCTGATGATAAATAATAAGTATTATAATCATCAATTAAATAAAATGATATCCATTATTGTCTCTTTTGCTATTAGGTAATACA